AGCTATGAGATGAATTATCTGAGAAACATAAAAAGTCGACCCTGAATGAGAAGGAGATCACATGCAACTTACATAAAGAACATTTTGCTGGTGTCATGCTTACAAGGGGAGAGAGATTCCCTGAGTGCAAACATGCTGAATTATAGATCCTAAGCTGTGTCCCACTGGTTATGATGTCTTGGTATGTGGGTTTTGTTAACACAGATACAGTTGAATTCAGCACAGTTAACTGAACATATAATGAAATTAGTAATAAATGTCTTTGTAATATATGTAAATTTTTGTTACTATTTAACTAACCAAGCTTGCAGATAGTAAATATAATTGGTATAATGTACATATCTGTTTCTCAATTTATAGCAATCCCTCAAAAGCATTTTATATTAAAATTTATTCAGGAAAATTGAAAATTATAACATTTGAATTACTATAACTAAAATATTTATGTTTCTATAATATTTAGTACATGGCATTTAATTTCCAAACATTAAGTAAAACTTTAAGTCATGAAATATAGTAAAAAGGTAACTTAATAAATCCATAGCTTAAAATCTTTTAAATATTTTTTTTAATTTGGCTTACCACTGACATAATCTTTATGAAAAACTTAATTAGATCTAAAGATATAGAAAGATCCACCCTACATAGAAATAAATCTTTCTGAATTATTCTGGTTCTGTTGATATGGGAAAACACACTACTGAGAGAATGCAGTGTGCAGATACTGTGAGAGTAAGCTAATTAGAACTTAAACCCCAGAAGGTTGAATTATTTTCTTGTGAGGAGCTCCTGGAAATAAATAGTCTCATTCTGATGAACTGGGGAATGGGGTTGAAGCCTCCCTTCTCTAATGAGCATGGCAGTGACTTCTGGCATCAGCAGTCCCGTGCACGGTGAGGTAGACACAGAAAGTGGGGGGGGGGGGGGGGGGTGCTGTTGTCTTCAGAAAGTGACATCTTGTTTGGAGTATTTACAACACAGTAGGCTTTGCACACCATTTCTCATGCTACTAATGAAAAGCAGAAATCAAAAAACAGCACACACACACACACACACACACACACACACACACACACACACACACACCTGCTCCCTAGCAAAGGGCACAATGTGGCTTCTTCATAGAACAGGGGCATTTTGGTTGAATGAGCCATTGTGTAAGCATGGGCCAACAAAGTAACATCAGAATCCCTAAAATAGAAAACATTATGGTAACAAGTTTTTTCCAAGGTAAGTTGTTCTCATAATGAAATCATTCATGGTGGTAGAGGATAACTTAATGAGAACTTGGCTAGCATGTTCATGACTCTGAGTTTGACCCCTAGCAAGACACAAGCACAACACACACACACACACATCCACAAAAGCATTCTAAATGTCCTTTCACCACATTTGAATAATTATATCATAACTAGCAATTGGCTGTGAGATCACAACACTTGCCTATCTTCACATAATTGTTGAATGGGTGAAAAGTATAATTTTAACTAATAAATGTATAACCACTACTGCTTCTCTCAAAATATTAACACTTAACCTTGAAATTAAATGTGTGTTAACACAAATTTCAAAAAAACTGAGACCATGCTTTCCCTGCACAAAACTGCACCTGTGTGAATTATTTTAAGACATCTATCACAAGGTGGCGAGTAATTGAGGAAGACATCCAGTCTGGCATCCATAGGCAGACACACCTGCACACACACACACACACACACACACACACACACACACACACACACACACACACGAGAGGCAACACATACACACACACAAAAAAAACCTTGAAATTTAAAAAAATATAAGTACCTGCCAATACTTCCCCAGCCTTGATGACTAAATATCACAGAAAAAAAAAAATTCCTAGCTTCCTCCCCATGATTTCTTACAGTATTGGTATCGCTGGGCTCTCCTTTATTCCCTGAAGGTTCCTACCATCGTCCTCTCCTGAGAAAGAAAGGGAAACGCAGAGCCTCTGCCCTAATTACACTGGCAGTGGATGACTACTACCCGCCAGACACAGAAGTAGCACACTCAGACTCTAGTGAGCAAAAGAGACACTAGCTAGCTGTCTGAAAGTGTCAGCAGGAGCACAACCTTCACCCTAGAAGGAAGTGCAAAAGGATCTAGCCTGAGAAGTCATCCCAAGATCACAACCAGAATATTAGGCACAGTGTTAAAACCATAGCATGTTCTGGAAAAAAGTGTCATGCAATGTGGGGATGGGTAACAAATACAGAGGAAACTCTCCTGGTCTCCTAGATAGTTATGAAGGTGCCATAAGAAGAATTCACTTTGTTTCGTGACTTTCCAAAACTAGTTCCCTTCCATGGAAATATAGTCTTAAGTGTTACTTTCTCTGTTAGGAGATTAACAAACAAGTTTGAAAATTTAGTAATTTCAGCAAAACACTTCCCTGACAGTACTTCCTCAGGAAAGGTCTGAGATGAGCCAATCAAAAACAACATTATCCAGCATCCACTGAACGCCACTTGAACATTGAATTTTGTCTGGCTTTGGTTGTGAGTTTAGCAACTACATTATCTTGTGTGTCATAGGTTTTGGAAATGCTTGTATTTGGTACTGTGACTTTGCAAAAATACTAATTAAAAATGTCTTCTGAACCCAACTAGGTACAATAAGTACAGGATGACCTCCTTAGTTTGTCATTTTTAGAAAACAAAGATATACTGTAATTCTTCATTTCAATTTTTTTCAGATATCTTCTATCTAAAAATTTTAAATAATAATGATTGTTTGGCTTGTTGCTGCCATGTTTCCACTGATGCAAGGGCAAGAAAGTCCCCCAAACTGGAGTAGAGTTTGTGGGTACATAGCTGACTTCTCAGTCACTGTTCACTTCTATGAAGTGCAGGATGAAACCGAATCATCACTTGGTTTCACTTCCCACCTTTGCTCAGCATTTGCTTCCCTTTCACTAGATTTTTTTGGGGGAAATATATAGAAACCTTTAGTTTCACTGATCCATGGATTGGACCTATGATTGTAATTCATGGAAAGTTGCCATATATGCTATATACTTTTAGAAAAAAAAATAAATGCCAGGGGAGACTTTAATCATTTGATACATGCTACTATTTTTGAAAAGCACCATCATTTTCCTATTGATGAATATAAAAGTACCCTTTCGACTCATTTAATTAAATATGATTTCAAGTAAGCAAAGCTTAGCACATTTTGCATGTTATGGTTGAATGTCATAGATTGTTTTTGAAATATAGCTCTCATTTTTTGTTATTAAGACTGTTGGCTGTTTTCTTGCAAAGTTTTTCTTTTGAAATTTTTACTACTGTTTGGATTATATTCCCACGGAGGACTCAAAAAGAGGTGGTATCCGAACCTGATTCCCACTTCTAAAATTTTAAAGACTGTAACAACCCAATTTGCTTTAGATGGAGCAAGATCATCTATGAGTTTGCCTTTCCCAGTATCTTCCTCGCAGATGAAGCATATTTGACTACTCAGGAGGTTCTTTCAGCCTGAACATTCTTTCAATTGAACTCAGTGATCTACAGACAATAAATGTCATTAGCTATTGTCAGTCCTTCAATAGGATTTTCCTGTGTATTTTTGCTAATAAGTATTTCTAAATTAAATTTTCCCTAAAATCTATCCAAAACGTGCACAAGAAGGGAGACTGCTGGTTTCTGAGGCAGTAAACATCTCAGGGAAGATGGACAGTCGTCCCCCCCCCCCCCCCAAGCGTTGTTTGTTGGGCTGTATTCCGTAGTTAACTTGATTCAGAACTGTGGACAGCTCCCTCCCTCCCCTGCATGCACTTATTGGCAATTTTGGTTAGTTTCTGAACACGGCTGGAAGTAATGCTTTTTGTTGCTATGTTTGCTTTGCGGTTTACCGGGAGCCTAAACGCGCAGTGTGCTCATGAACTCCTTTCCTTGTTGTATGTCCCCCTTGTTCGAACAAATCCAATAAAAAAAAAACAAGTGTATCACCCGGAGTTACTAGTTGGGGATTTTTAGAAGGAAGCTCTCTCTGCTTGTGTTCAGGAGCAGCAGCGTGTCACGCTAATAAGAGGATCTACTTCACGACCTTCATTTGTCAATCTCTAAACGTGCTTATTAACCGAGTGAATACTTGGGCTACAAATAAGACCAGGGAACTCATATTCATTTTCTCCTGCTGACAGCTCTGCTGCCCTTCCTCCGAGACTGAGAAACTGGAAAGACGTGTCTGAAATGGATTTGTAGTCAAGGTCAAGAGCGGGTGTCGTCGCTCTATTTCAGGAAGGGGGGCTCTAGAAACGCCCCCCTGTCTCTGTTTCGGGAACTCGAAGCTTCCTGTCACGCTTCTGCCCAGTCGGGCAGCAACTGGCTCCGCTGAAACCTCAAGTCAGACTACCCAAGCGCAAGTGTCCTTCCTGTGCCTGCCAGCCACTGATCTGGAGAAACGCAATGGTGACAAGAGTGCCTATAAGCACAAGAACAACAGATTAACACTCCCAGGGGCGAGAGTGGCAGGAACAGCTAGGACCTGTGAGTCACTGTCTCCAGTTTCCTCATCTCCGGAATCCCAGAAGCCTCTTTTTTTTTTTTCTCTCTCTCTGTCTCTCTCTTTGGGGAACAGCGCTAGCAAGGATACCTGCCCTAGTCCTAACTCTCCCATTACCGAAGTAAAAGTTTCCCTCGTGTAACTTAGACACCTCCCGTCCAGGGGTCATAGTGGCCTTCTTCCCTCCTTGTCAATCCCACAAAGTTTACCAGGAAAAGGGAAAGGACCTCGCTGATGCTCTTGGGGATAAGAAACTCCCTAACTCCAAACCTTCCCGGGATGGAAACTAGTTGAAGAGTAGAGTTGGCTAGTTTGAGTGGGAGCCACCGGGCAGCGCGGCCACGCCTGCCCCGCACCCCGCTGCGAGTCCCCCTGGGCGCCCCCTCCCAGGGGCGGGGTAGGATGCTGGAGCGCGCGCCTGGGGTGGGGTGGGGGGAGAGCAGGGTGGGGCGGCGCCAGGGAGCCCTCACCTGAAGTCACTGTACGGGTGGATAATCCAGAAGCCTGCAGTTTTAACCCTTTCCTGCTCCTTCTCCACCGCCTTCTGGCTGCCGAACATGCGGAGGGAAAATTTGTTGACCCCGGGCTGCAGCATGGAGGTGAACTGCCTCTGCATGAATCCATACTGCCGCCGGGGTCCCTCCGAATCCTCGAAGCTGCCGGCCGGCTCCTCGCCGCCTCCGCCGTCCACCTTGAAGCACACGGAGTTGCCGTGCTCCTTGCCCGCCGCGCCGCTCCCCGGCGGGGTCCCCAGGCGCTTGTCGGCCACGGCCGGCCCCGTCGCGGGCGCCTTGGAGGGGAAGACGCTGTTGCCATCGTCGCGGCTGTTGGACGCGGACTTGGGCTTGCCGCCGCCTTCCATGCCCGGAGGACGCGGCTGGCGACGGCGACGGCGCGGGCTCCAGACTCCCCTCCGGGGGCTCGAGGCCGAGGGGCAGGGGCCGGGGCCGGAGCCGGCTGCCGCCCGCGAGCCCGGCTGCCCGTCGCGGCGGCGGCGGCGGCGGCGGCAGCTGCTGCTGCTTCCCGCCCGCCCGCGCCGCTGCTGCTCAGCTGCGCGCCTGCCTCCCGCCGCCGCCGCTGCCCTGAGTGGCTTGCGCTCCCGGGCTCCGCCGCGCCTGGTGCTGAGGCTGAGGATGCAGGCGCGGGGCGAGGCTCCGGCTCAGCACCCGCGCGCCAGCGCCGCCCCTCGGCTGCCCCCTGCCGGCCGCCGGCCGCCTCTGCCCGCGCTCGCGTGCCCCGCCGCCGCCGCCGCCGCCGCCGCCGCCGCCGCCGCCGCTCCCCTGCTCCACTTCTGCCCCAGCGTGACATTGAACTCCCCGGCCCGCCCCGGACGCCTATTTGTACGTCTGGAGAGAGAAGCTTGCTGGGTGTGGGTTTGCAAAAATGGGAGGGGAGAAAAGGACGGCGGCGGCGGGGGCCGGGGGGGAGGGGGGGGGGAAGAAGGGAGGGAGGGAGGGAGGGAGGGAGGGAGAGAGAGAGAGAGAGAGAGAGAGAGAGAGAGAGACTGAGCAAGCAAGTTGCGTCCAAAAGGAACTGCCAAACAGCCTAACATGAACCGCCTAAAACTCGCGGAGACACTGTTTGAACGCCTGTTGGAATGATGTTACAGATGGAGAAAGTGGGGGCCAGGCTAATTCCTCACACTATAAATTCACTTGCAACGCTAGATGGACAAGGAAACACACTGGAATTTTTCAAGGATGATAAAAATGAAGGATACACGCTGAGAAATAAATTTCATGAATAGAACGGAAGGAGAGAGGGACAGAGGAGAGAAAGAAGAAGACAAGACAGGGGAAATAGAGGTGGGGAGACACACAACCAGCAAATAGATCTTTGTAAACCCTGGGTAATCAGCTGCCTGGGGCTTTGCAGATTAAGGATCTGTACCTAGGGACAGGCAACTGACCTCCTTCTACTTATCCTGTTTATTATCACACAGCTCCTTAAGCAGGCATGGGATTCCTTTCTAGAAGGCTACTGGCATCAACACATATGTGAGCAAGTCTGTCAGCCACCCACTGCTGGGGGGGGGGGAAATGTGTAAGAGATAAGTGGCCTGAACTGACCTTCTTTTAAGATAAGTCATACAATCAATAACCACACAGAGAGATAAATGTGCCGGTCTGTGTTCAGCAACACCATGCTTAGAGGTCTAGATAGCTTGGAATCTGGTCGGAATGCCATGGAGTATTCTCTGGAGAAGTTTTCCATGTGTGACTGATGCTGAGGACAGCCTTCTCAGATTTCTCTTATTCCCTTGGTGTCTCCCGAACCCACTGGATTAGCTAATAGAAGCAAAATGTGCTGCCAAAGTTACCATTCACTCAGCAGGGCATCCTGGAAGTCGGAAGAGGTTGGAGACTGTAAGCAACCCAAAACATCTGTTCCAGACACACGCTTTGCCTCCATGCCCACAGCCTCTTCAAAGGCAAGTTCACTCTGCCAAGTCACAGATCCTCTGGTTTACTGTCTGCTAAGGTCACATAGCAGAGTGGGACACTTCCAGGAGGGGTTCTTTGTCAGGGTGGCAACCTGTGGCACTGGATGAAAAAATCACTTAGATTTTTTTTTTTCATGAAAAACTGAACTGTTTGATGAAACTAATTCCCAGGAGAGGCAAGAGTAAAAACTATCCGGTGTCTTCATGAAGCTTTAGAGAGGCCAAGGAAGGAGCAGAAGACAGTGAGTATTGTCCCAAGTCACATAGCATCTGCTTTCAACTAATCAAAACCCAAATCCTCACAAAATAAGTATGTGTGGTCAAATTTTTATGGTCAGAGATAGTGAAATAACAATATAACACTCTGTCCCAGCAACAGAGGGAGCTTGGAAATCACAAGGTCAGAGGAGAATACTAGATGCCACAGCCAGAAAAAAAAAAAAAAAACTTTAGAATGAATAAAGTCAAATATTGCCAAAAGCACAGTTCTGCCCCCCCTAAAATTTCCAGTTTCAGTCCCACTTTTTTCATTAAACAAATACCATTTCTCTAATTGCATCCATTTTACATGCTTCCCCAATCCCTCTATTTTCAGTCACAAGTGTAAAAATGTATATTTAACATAAATTTTAAATTTTATAATAATGTAAAAATATAACACCTAAGATGTAATGATGTAATGCTGTTTTACTCTCTCTCTCTCTCTCTCTCTCTCTCTCTCTCTCTCTCTCTCTCTCTCTCATTTTTAGCCCATCCCTGTCTGTGTTCTATTTCAACTTGTTTATAATCATAAAGAGGCAGTTATTTTAGTAAACTTTTCCTGAGTTTCATTGTACTAAATGTGACAGAACTACTGAAAAACAAGAACTCATAATGGAACCAGAGGCATATCTAAAAAGAAAGAGAAGTCATCAGTTCCTGCAAGTACTGCATGGATAATGTGTTTTATCCATTTATAATTCTTATTTTTAAAAACGGATCACGTGTATGTTATATCAGCATACTCAAAATTATCAGCAGTATACAAAGTCAAGTCCCTTGGCTTCACCTTCACGGTGCTGATCTACAGTTGTTTACAATGTGGACCCTTATGAAAAACTTCCTTGGGGAGAAGGTAGAACTTGAACGATCAGGGGAGAATAATCACAATGAAATATTGAGAACAATGAGAGAATAAGAAACAAAGGGAGATAAAAAGATCTGGAACCATAGGGAATCTCTTGACATGTTTCTACAGTAAATACTCTTGAGCTGAAATCCACCAAACTAAATAAGTGTGATATCTTAAAGTCACCTTAGAAACACGACTGACATTATATTTGACTCTGTCATGGGTTGTCTGTGAAGTGTCTTATACTTCAAAGGAACTTGACTTCTGAGGACTCATCAGAAAATATTAATTTTGAATTTATTCCAGAAGAGTATCTCGTTGGTTGGAATGACTGGGGTTCTGTATATACTTGCATTGTAAGGCTTTTAAAATGTTCCCTGTCCCCTTTAATACTCTGCTTAAGATCAAACTGCAGACAGCAGCAGAAGATTAATATGAATCTAAAATAAAATCTCCATGCAGCCGACTCAAGCACATATGAAATGAGACAAAAAAGATAGATTGGTGAGTTGAAATCTGACAACTTACTGGAAAATTCTAGGGGGAGCATCAGGGTTTATGGGCTGGTTCATAGGATGGGGACAAATACTGAAACATACTGCACATCTAAAGACGTGTTGTCAGAACTCTGTTGAAAAAGGAAGTGGTACATAATCTCAGTGTCTTATACTCAGACAGATTCGATTATCTGGAAGGCAACTGCCAGCATCATGCTTAATTTGAAAACTAGAGCTATGACAGTCTGAGCAAAACATTCATTGCCATTATTTTCATCACACAGGCCAGTTTAAGTTGATACTCTTGTCTCCCTAAAAACTCAAAAGAACCAAATGGGTAACCATAACAGATAGTGTAAATTTAAAAGTTCATATAAAATGTACATGAAAAAAAAGTCAGTTTTTTTTTCCTAAGCATCAATTGTAATTATTAAGAACAATGGTTCCTTTCATAATTGCAAGTATTTCAGTAATAAACAAGTAAAGCATGAGACATACAATTCATAAAAACACTAAACTTTTCAAGAAGCATGAAAATGCATTTAAATAAATGAAAATATAGTCCACAAATTTAATATTCTAAAGATGATGGTTCTTCCCAGATTTGTTTTTAATGTTCAAGCAAATTGGATTATTTGTATTTTTCCCCTTGGAGTTTTTAAGGTTTTCTTGGAAAAGTCTTCTGTAAAATCATATAGCACAGGTCTAGAGACAGGGCTCAATTGGTAAATGTTTGCTGTGTAAATAGAAGGCCTAAGTAGGTGAGGCATGGTAGTGCATCACTCTAATTCCAACACCAGAGGCAGAGGCAAGTGAGTCACTGTGTGTTACAGACCAACCTAGTCCACATGTGAGTTCCAGGACAGGCAGGGCTACACAGAGAAACCCTGTCTCAAAAAACAATGCAACGAAAAGAGGGATAGAGGAAGACATTCAAGATTGACATCTAGTGCATGGGGCAGTGGCGGAGAGGAGGGGAGACACAACCCACAAAATAAAAATATTGTGCAGATTGACAAGGTGTTAGTTGAATGTAGGGTGGTATGAAGCACAGAAAAAGACAACTAAGGAACAGAATAGAATGAAAACCAGAAACGTGTTCTAACCTGTGTTGATTACAACTGGAAGATGTGAGTTCAAGCTAATGAGCCAAAGATACATTGTTCAGTGAATTGTGCTAGAAGAATGATTAAGTAACACTTTGAGGAAGGAAGAAGGTGAAATCCAACATCATGTTGTTTCTTAAAGTACCATTATACAATATTGTGAACTAAATACTGAAGCTATAGTAGGTAAGAATGTTCATAGATGTTTATAAAAGCAAACCTAGTAAATTATTTTCAAATCATGATAGCGAAAGGAACTAGAAAGAAAATACTGATTGATTTGTATGCATAGAAACATCAAACATCTATTTGAACTCAGCACAATCATACTTTAAAGAGAATATAGTAGAAAATGTGAAAATATGTTGTAAGAACAATTATACCTTTGCATATGAACTCATAGAAGCAGATGGTTTTTTATGCAAATGAAAAATTCTTACTTATATAATGAATAGGATTATTTATACACTAATGTCTTATACAAAGACTTATACAAAGTTAAAAGAATTTTATATTCATAAAAGACAATATATTTAACATTTCCTTTACTAGTGGGCATTTGGGTTTTTGGCTATATGTGCTTTTATAACCAAGTCTACAATCAACATGATTATTATGCTTCTGTGCACATATTAACATAGATCTAGATAAAAAATATTGAAAGTTGAAAGTAAAGAACATCACTAAATAAAAGTAATATGTATTTACTTTTGATAGTAACTGTCAATACACTCTCTAAAGCAAGTGCATGTCTGGATTTCTACTTAGATTGCATGAGGCTACTTGTTAAGTATACTTGAACAAACATAACATATTAAAATA